GAGCCTGTCTTCACTGCCCCCTTCTAGCCGCCACATTAGGTGGCTGGCGATTGGGGTCCTTACCTAGATGTTGTGGACAGTCCAGAATAAGCTTGTGATCTAACGTGTTCCTCTTCGACGTGCGACTGACGAGATCTTTAAAATGTTTAGTTACTTGCAGCTTTGGCAGCCGCTTAGCCGCCCCAGGATCATGACGCCATCAACATCATCACTGCTGATCTGCGTGCGATGGCTCTTCGCTTGGCACCACCGCCTCCTCTGCCACCACCACTGAGCTGGATTAAATCTCTTGTTGCGGCCTGTTCGCTTTGTCTTTTTAATTTTTTCTAGGCTTGTTGAGTTGTGCCCTCAGCAAAACACCGTACTTTATGTCGTGCTGCTACTCTATGTGTGTGAATGTGGACCTTATTGTAGGTGGTGCTTTATTTATAAAACGGGGCGAAAGCCTTTTTCGATAAAACCAAAACTATAACCGAATTTTAACCCAGAACATTACACCCGAATAAACCGAAACAACTAAAAAAAGGTAAAACGGCACTATACATTCATGTGAACAGTAATCCAGAAGAAATATTAAAAATCCAAAAAAAACTGCTTCAACAGAGAACAGTAAAACCAATGAACAGAATAATACCAGAATAAATCGAAAACATTTACCCACCCAAATCATACGGTACCTGAATCGAACAACACACCAGAATAAATCAGAACAAACAGAACAGTAAACCAGCACTATGCATTCACGTGAACAGTAATTCAAAAGAAATAACAAAAAGAAAATTGCTTTCTCACGGCCGCGCTTCTTCGGCGCTAGTAAGAGCCACAACGGCTAACAAGTACACTGGAAATTTGAAACCAGTATCCAGTTTATATTGTCAGCAAAAAATGAAGAAAGAAAAATTCTTTCTTTCACATTTTTCTGTTACTAACAGAGAACAAATTTGAACATGATGATGCAGTTATCATAGCATGAAATAATACATCAAGTAAAAAATATTTGTTTCATATATTTGCTACTTTAATTGTGCATTCTCACATGCATGATCGAACAAAAATTCCTTTTGTTTCTTAACATTAATCTTCCAACATCGGATACCCTATAAAATGGTTACTTCGGTATTAACACGTGAACAAGAAGCAAAAAACCACTTCTTTTTCTCCTATAGTAAGATCAGCCGATAAAACATGTACTACAGATGACCAAAATTTCTATTGGGCCAAACACAATTGAGGCAACGACTAGAATTTTTCTATCTCCTGAAATGTACATTGACAACAGTTGGCTGCATATTTGTCTGCTGAATCGACAGTGCAAGCGGGAAAAATGGGTGAAACAAGGAAGAGATTCTTTTTCCTCGGCTGTCGGAAGCACCAGAATCTGACCCTGCAGAAAAGGGAGATATATGCACGTGAAGTTACTCAAGAAATGCTACTAAAACAAAGTAAGACTTAGAAAAGCAAATGTACAAATAATTTCCCTCCAGTGTCCCAAAAGTGATGATATATTTTCCAATTATCAAGTCAGGTCAGGATGCAAGCGGGGCGCGTGCGGTGGATTACGTAATGAGAAAAGTCTGAAATAAACCTTGAATTTGTACCCGAAGTCTGAATCGAACCCTTACCTCGAAATCCTTTAAATTAGCACCCTATTTTTATCAATCCCAGCCGATGTTCACCCCAGACCTGTTTGTCGCACCAGGTTACGGGCGATCCCAGTTCCCAACCGGGATTACTCACTTCTCTCCCTGATCATTTGGGCCCACATGCCATCTCTGTCTTATTCCTCGCTCTCTCTTTCACTTTTTCCCGCACTCACCCTGTCGCCGGCTTCATTGGCAGCAGCCGAAGCCCGATGGACAGTACAATGTCCAGCAGCTGCTGAAGCTCGACACCAACCAGCTCATCAAGCATTTCGAATCCACACGTCCATTGCCCTCGAAGATGACAACACCCGCTTCGTCAACGCGCCTCGGAACCGCACGTCCATCGCCCGGGAGCGTACTTCTCTGCTCTACACAGCAGCGTCCTGTTGCCGTCGTTCTTGGAGACCTCACTCCGCAGTCAGATCCGGCGCCCAGACACGGACGAACTCGCACGCAGCCGCATCTGCTGGGGTGCCGCGGGATTCCCACCCAGTCGCATCCCATGGGAGAATTAGCCGGACTTATTTGTGGGGCAGGCTAACGGCCTAGCAGAAAGGCCCGCCCCAGTTGCACCCTTAAAGTCAGGTGAGATTTCTTACGTTTTGGCTTGCTCTGATGTGGTCATGTTGCCTTCATGATTACATCACTACGGTGTGGGAGCTCATGACCGTTCATTGGTCAGGTTAGACCCTGTACAATGCAAGGTGCTTATAGTAAAATAAACAGTCTAAGCAGCATGAGGCGGGTCTAAGAAAAAAAAGCAAGGAGGGTCCAAGGAAACCAAATTTGTTCCAACATTTAGCACCGATTGGGGACCCACCGCTCAGATTTTTTTCTGTACAGGAACCCACCGCTCAGATTTTTTTATTCTACCCTGTACGTTTCCCCATTGAACTTCCCTCCACCAATTCAAAAACTGGCGGCAGCAGATGGGAGGTGGGGGTGCTACCGCTAGCCTCCCTGACAGCGAGGGACAAGCACTGTGATCCACACGTGGGCCTCATCAAAGGGGAGGACCGGGGCGCTGCTCCTGCTGCTCCTATGGGGTTGAGATGAGGCTATCTTGCTTGAATTAACGAGATACGGGCATCTCGAACACCGTGCATCAAAATGCCCGTAAACGTCCAGCGCAGACTGGACACTTTGTGCCATCCAACGCCATGCATCAAATGTCCGTGGACCGGTCTGTACGCCCAAATTCTCACAAAACGGAAGCAAGCTGGGGAGGTTTGCGAGCACCCGGACAGCCGCAGGGCAGGCGTCTGACACCCATGGCCCACACAAAAAACCCACCCGAAGCCCCGCTTTTCTCACTCAGTCCCTCCCCTTTGTTTGTATCCGTGTAGTCTGAGACCCACGCCGCCACTGGACCACCCACTCCGCCGTTCAGGCCTTGCCGGACCTCTGCCGCTCTACCCGAGCGCCATCCCCAACTTTGCCTATGCCTCCCTTCCATCCCTGCTCCGGCTACCGCCGAGGTACCCTATGCCCTGCACATTGCCGTTCATGGCGGACACGGTGCCCATCAAGTGTTCGGCCGAATGCCATAGCCAAATTTATTGACATTTTTATTGTTTACTTTGAAGCAAAACACTATGCATTCGGCCGCAGAGTACTTCTACGCCAAGTTCATAGATACGTCCTCGTTAGATGAGAATGAATATAAGGATGAAACGACGATGATGTACGCGGTTATTGAAGATGCCCAACGTGCGGAGATAGATCAAGGGACATCAAGTGATGAATCGGAATAGGGCACGGGGGGCATATGATGCTGGTGGACGACTACTTTGTCCCCGACGCGCTATTTGAGCCCTATTTTCGTTGTCAATTCCAGATGAGCTGAACTGTGTTCGATCACCTCTACAACGGTGTCCGGGCCTATGATGACTACTTTATCTTGAAGAAGGATGCCGTTGGAAAGATTGGATTATCTGGTTACCGAAAGTGCATGGCTGCATTGAGGATGCTTGCCTATGGCATGGACGCAGATTCGTGGGACAAGTACCTCCGGATGTCCAAAAGCACATGCCTCGAGTGATGGTCAGATTTGCTACTATGGTGGTCAAGATGTTTGGACCGAAGTACATGGGAGAATGAACTGCCGAAGACACCGCACGACTCATGGGACTGTCAGAAGCAAGAAGGTGACCAGGTATGCTCGGATTTCCGGATTCCATGCACTGGCTATGGACAAATTGCCCATATGCTCTACAGAGGCAATGTCAAGGCCATTGTAAGAAGCCCACCATCATTCTTGAAGCACGTGCATCACAAGACCTCTAGATTTGGCACTCTTTATTTGGGATGCCTGGGTCTCACAATGACATCAACTTGTTGCAGCGGCCTCCATTGCTTGCAAGGTTGTGAGGGAGAAGCTCCTCCGTGCAACTATACCATCAATTGTCATGACTACAACACGGGCTATATTATTATCTTTGTGATGATAGATATCCTTCATGGGCGACTTTCGTCAAGACCATCTCTGATCCAAGGGGTGAGAAAGATCTCACTTTGCCCAAAAGACAAGGAGCTAGAAAGGATGTGGAGAGGACATTTGGAGTGCTCCAAGCCCGTTTTGCGGTTCTTCGAGGACCTGCAAAAGTATGGGATCCAAAGATGTTGTGGGAGGTGGTCATAGCGTGTGTGATCATGCACAACATGATTGCAGAGGATGAGTGCGACGAAGTTTGCCAGTCTAGAATTTGAGCAAATGAGTCTTGACCAATGTTGACTTCTCATGCGGATACAAGTTCAAATTGATATAGTTCCACACACCCTAGTTCTAGAATCTAGATGCTTGGTCACAGCAATGGATCAAGAGTTACCTGGTTTTATCTTAAATTTGACGACATTTGGTTGCCTCACTGATATAAATTTTATAGGATACTCTGTGCAATGCCTATGCCGATCAATTGCTGAAAACAGCTGCAAACAAGGAAACGAAAGTACACGATATATCAAATGAAGGGAAAATTACTATCATGCACTTGAGTATGACAAAATCGAGAAGATAAACAAAGTAATGGAATGTCATAAAAATGATTTAGAAAGTTCAAGTTGGACACATCTAAACCACTGCTGTCATTACTCCTCATCACGATGGAAACCCTCATATTGCATAGGTTAGCGTTGAGCTAAATTACTACTTTACTACAGCAATGAAAAAGCCATTAGTCGAAAACAAGTGTAGTGTTATACTATATCAATAAAACAACTCGCACATTGTATAGGAACAGGGATACTAAATTTCCAAGAAATATCTAGCCTACCCAGGCCTTCTGCGAAGTAGGAGGGGTTAAACTTACACCCCAACCCAACCTCATGCAGGGGCTAAGCTTGCATTTTAGCAACAGTGCTTAGCACCCACTACTCTCTCCTTAGCTGGAACCCACAAAAGAAATATTGCAGCCTGCTGACCCACCTTCCCGATTTGAATCGCCTGCCACTGCTTCTCTCAGCGCCGATCTCATCAAATTAAATAGAACTAAAAATTTAATGCCGCACCACTCTTTTCCTTCATGCCAACCGCACCTACTCTCACATTTCTCTTTCCTCAGATCACCAGCAACCACCCCTCTCAATGGCAATGTAGCTGCATCTTCACTCTCCCAACTAATATGCAAAATCATCACCAAGTTACCAACATGCAAACAGCCAATCATCTCCCAGGCCAACAGGACCTCTGACCATCAGTGCAGTGCATAGTATCTATTTGCAGTAATAATGTCATAACAAGTGAGAAAAAACATAGCGGCTCCATTTTCAAGTATAACCAATATGTGGAAGTCAGATGTTAATACTAACATTCTAAGTAGAAAAACATTTTATAAGATGCTGCTCTGCAGTACTCCCTCCATTTTTGTATACAAGGCCACTTAGTTTTTCGTGTCAAATGTTGACTTATAATTTTGGTCAACAAAATATGAACTAAATGTCATAAAAAATATATCATCAGAAAGTTCTTTGAAATGTGCATCCAATGAAATACTTTTTATGGCATATAACTCACTTTTTGTTGGTAAAATTAGTGGTCAAAGTTAAGACATAAAAGTATGAAATGGCCTTGTATAAGGGAATGAGGGGGTATTATTTTTTTGCGATAACTCTGCACATCTAATCTCTGTTTTGTTGTTATTTATTCAAAGATGATAGAAGCTATACACATTACATGCCACAAATAGCAGGATATACAATGTCCTGCTCAGAGTTTTGAAGAATCATTGGTTCAATGAAAGACTTAAAGTAAGCCCAACGCAACAATATCAAATGCTTACACATTCCAGTTAATAATGTATTAACATGTGCTTCATGTTCAATTTTCTACAGAAGCCATATTGATTGCTTGACAAAAGCGAAAAAGAGGTTGGTGACTCGAGTAAAAGCACATGAACACTTGCAGGATATTATGGTATGACACTCAAGCCAGAAAACTAGCCAAACTGGAACTACTGTATAACATATATTCAAACAAGCTGTAGAACAAACCTTCTCATCATAACGAAAAATTGACAGATCAAAGTATGGTGAAGGACTTTGTGATTGGCAAGTGTAAGGCAATGACGCCATCATCTTTTTCACAAACTGCTAAACAGAAAACAAGTAGCAAACTAGCAATCATCAAAAGGTTCATCATTACATAACAAAAGAGGTAAATTGTTGACAAATCAGATGCCTTAAGAGTACACAAATGAGAAATATGTAGTAAGTATAGTTATTATCAAGAAATAAGCCATCAGCAACAAGTGACCGTTTCACACCTTTAGTTTTTTTCATCTGAAAGGTATGGGTTTCTAACATTTTTCACAAGCATACCACCTCATCTGGAACTTCATGTAAGTTGGTATATAAAACTGAAAAGGCATGACAACCACCAGAAAATAAGCTTAAAGCTAAAAAAAAGTTTGCTTTTTCTTAGTTGATTCACTGAAACCTGAAACAAATTGGAATTCTAGTACTACTAGAACTGACGCATGCTCAGGAAGCTAACCTGCAAGGATACAACTCATTTTAGCCCTACATTATTTGTAATTCTCCACATTATATCCAAGAAAATCTCTTTGTATTATGCAATTTATTCTGAACATAAATATCCAAGAAAACTGTTTTTTATATTGTATGTTATGTATGTTATATCCAAGAAAACCTCTTTTCCTAAAACAATTGTGGAAATTGTGCATGCTATTACAGTATTACTAGAATACGTTGAACCATTTCAGTACAGTCGACAATCAGTGCATCATCCTTGGAAATAAGGAGACCATTAGCGCCGCGACATGCACAAATCCTCACATCTTGTCGAGGCATTTAAATGGAACAGATCAATAGAATGGTTTACAAAAAATGCATCATATATTCATATGACTTGCGTTATCAACATTACCTGTGAGGGGCTGCTTGCTTTACTTTTAATGGTGCGGAGTTGATCAAGAGCATGAACACTATTGGGATTGGACGAGATAAATTTCTCATGCAAAGAATTTTGAGGATTTGCATGGAAATGATCATAATAATGTTCAAACAATGAATACAGCTCCTCCGAAGAATTCTGCTGACAAACTATGTATTATGTTCAAACACAAGGGAAAATATATCAAATCACTTGAACAGCATTTCTGATGATCATGGATACCTGATAGAGTGACACAATCTCGGTCGTCTCCATGTTGTACACAGCAAAGAATGCTAGGTTTTGATCAGTGCTTCGAGTAACCTAAAGAAATATATTAGAGCATCTGCAATTAGATGGTGACAAGATGCGAATAAAATACTGGTAAGATGTCAGGAGAAAATAGATTTACCCTTCCATTGACACTACCAAACTTGATAAATAGGTGATGGCGATCCAAAAACTGTACCTGTTCCACTATCATGTTATAAACACCTCTTGCAAAAATTCTTTAGCAGAAAACAATGTGTTCAGTGAACAACATAGTCCCTGTAAATACTTAGGTTACTGATAGCTAGCTAAAATGAACAACAAAAACTGTAAGTGAAGAATTTAATTTTTTTAATCTAACAGAAAAATGAAGGGATGAAGTAGGAGAAAAAAATCTCACTTAGAAGACTGCAGAGAAGGCATAAGACTTACAAAGTAAACCAGCCAAAACCAGGAACAGAAAGGAGACAAAACCTAGGCTAGCCAATACTTAAGAATAACGAGAAGAGAGAAGAAAGAAAGAACCAAGGCAAAAGAAAAACAGAGCAAAATCCTACTGCTATTGTGATTCATTTAAGCTAGTCTTGAAAGTATTTATAGGTACCTTCCATATGATAAGATCCACATAGTCTTGAAAGTGAAAATAAAATTTCTTCTTCAGGTGCTGGACCCTCTGCAAATAAAAATTACCATTTCAAACAAGTAGAGATAAAACATTTTTCCTTCACAACAAAAACCACACCGACCAAGAAAGAAGGGGGCGTAAGCAATTAAGCATAAGTTTGTTTTAAGAATTCAAAAGATGCAAGATTCACTGTAGACGATAATGACAGGGAGTGCAAATATTTTAGCAGTGAATGCAAAAAAATAGAGATGATTTTAAGCATCATAATTGACTTGAGGATTCAAAATATTGAGATCAACCTGGGAATAACCAAGCGAGTAAGAATGCAAAGCACAGATCAAGATCACATAGCAAATGAATGAATGGCGTGTAAGATAGCTAAGTATCTAACCAAAGCCTGATCAGGTTCCTCATTCCATGTCTTGCGGAAAATAAATGATAGCAACCGTTGCTTGATGCCAGGAAGAAAAGAACTCCCTTGTGCAGCCTGCAAGCATAAACTCAATTATCAGTTTCGTAGTTCACAAGTTCAATATCAGACGATTTCCAATTAGTCTTGTTCAAGGATTGCAGATTGCAGACATGAAGGTTTGCTCAAGCCTCCAAAGGCTATTTGCTGTATAGAAATGATGTGGGTAAAACAAAGACTATTTTCAGACAACAATTAGAAGAGATGAACGAAAGAATATCAAACAACGAGCGCACAAAGCTAATTTTTTGGGAAAGGTTGCTCTTCTTCTTCCCCCGCTCCTCCCCCCGTGTCGTCCCTGCGGGCGACCGGGGGCAAACCCTAGAGCGCCGCCAGCGTCCTCTCTCCTCCTCGCCTCCCTCCCCCGGCATAGGTGGTGGCGGGGAACTGGCTCCTCTTAGCTCAGGGTGCGGCTGGCGCGGAACAGCTTCTTGTGCGGGGGTGGTGGGCTGGCGCGGGGCCCTCTGGCCCGACGGCGGGCGCGCGGGTCGACGGCACGTGCAGCGTATGCTGGTGCGGTGGCGGGCTGCTGCTGGCCGTGGTGTGGCGGCCGCGAGTCTGCTCGGGCGGGTGCGTGCGACCCGTTCCCTGGCCAGGTCCGGCCGGATCTGGCTCGGGGCGGCTGGGGCGCGGCGCAGGCAGTGACCAGAGACCCAGACCCGGCTGAGTCTTTGGGGGGCGATGTGTTGCGTCCGTCTCAGGTGGGTGGGCGCGGGCAGGCCTCCGGCCAAAACTGGCCTCCTGGCTCAAGGTGGCGGCGCGGGGGTAGGCCGGCGTCCTTGGGTGGCGCGGGTTGGTGGTGCGTGTCGGCCGGATCTGGCATTTTCCGACGGGCAGCGCGGATTGGGGCACCTGCCAGGCATGGCTGTTGCTCCAGCTGTGGGCAGCAGCGGCGAGGCGGCTCGTCCCTCTTGTGGCAGCTTCGGCATCACAGCAGCTCGACAGGTCGGCTGCGGTGGCGGCTGGATTTCCGGCGTCGGCTCGTTTGTAGGCGGCCCGGTTGGACCTTCGTTCCATCTCCTTGGCATCCGGCCGCTATCTTCGTGATTGGTTGGCCCTCCCCAGCTGCGGTCCATCACTCGTCTCGCACCCGGCAGCAGGACCGAGCTCGTCTCGTGCCCGGCAGCAGGACTGACCTTGTCTCGCACCCAGCAGCAGGACCGAGCTCGTCTCGCGCCCAGCAACAGGACCATGCTCGTCTCGCGCCCGGTGCCGCAGGACGGGTCGATGGAGGCCAGTTTTGGCCGGCCCATTTTGTCTTGGCACTGGGGGCAGCCTAGTGGTGCGAAAGACGGGTCCTTTCCGCTCGTATCTTTGGTTGGGGTAGCGGCAGGTCTTGGGTGAGGTGGTGTCAAGGTCTTGGATGCCGGGGCGGCGGCCCTGGTGGTGGGTCCGCGGTGCTCATGGGCAGAGCCGCGGCTTGGTGTTGCCCGGTTGCCACGGCTGTGTGGGCGGCGTGGTAACCGGGCTGTGGCGTTCGGTGGCGGTGAGTGGTGGCCGGAGTGAAAACCTGTTCCAACTTCGGATGGACCGGCAGCAGCAAAGCTTGCTCCCTTCTTGAAGGCGTCGTTGCGGCTCTCATTGCCCGTCATGTTGCTCCAGAGGAAACTCTGATCCTCGGATCGGGCGGTGGCGGCGCTCCGGTGTCATCCCCTTCTTGAAGGCGCCGCCTTGGAGCCCACGGTTCGTCATATGCGGCTTCACTTCTTCGCGGTGGCGTGTTCACAGCTGTAGCCCCCGTCTGCTCTTGTAGTGCTAGGGATGTTGTTGATGCGCTCAGCGCCTATGTGTCCTGCCTTGGGGGTGTGTGCGTGTGTTGCGCGGCCGTGCGTTTACACGGTGTTGTTGATCGTTGCTTTATATATAAAGCGGGGTGAAAGTCTTTTTTTTAAAGAATATCAAATAAAAAATTGAGAGTTCGATAGTAAACCAGAGATTTATAATGATATTGCCGGATAAACTACAATTGTATGTCTCACTAAACCATGTGGTATGTAGTACACATGTTCCAAAAGTGATCATATAACTGATAGGTAGATCGCAAACCGGAAGAAACAAATATGAGAAAATGAATGCAACCCATGTACAAACTGCAGACCCAGCAATCTTAAAAAATACAAACATTTGCATGTACCTGGCCATGTGAATAAAGAAATAGTTCGTCATCTTCCCGGCAAAATGCACCAATTCTCCGTACCTCAACAAGGCTGCCTGAATCTCGGATTTGTAGGACATGTATTGTCTGATATCGAAGAGAGACAATGCAAACCAGATCCTCATACAAGTAAGCACCAATACTATGAGCCAAATTGATAAAATCATTGCAGAAAGCTTTCTCGTCTAGTATTGCACCATCTTCTAGCCTAATAACACAAATACAGATGTGCTAATCCACCAAATGTAGGGAAGCATGGTTACAGAATATATTTTAGTTTAAAGCTGCATTCTTCCTAAATCGGGACAAATAGATAACTGTACCTTACAAGATAGAAAGTTATTTTCTCAATTGATGGTACCCCGTGAATTGCACCCTCAGTGACACTTGATTCATTACTTCGTGCAGTTGACGTTGCAAATAAGCCATATTGATGGCACTCCATGTAAAGGAAAAAGTCCTCACAAATGTACTCATTGCTGGATGCAAGTGAGATTGAGTAGAGCTGCTTAAAGAAACTGTCAAATCTCTCTGCATTGGCCGGAAGATCATGAGAATCACATTCTTCATGGCATGAAAACGTTAACCAGATGGGACGGTACACAATCAAATCTTGGTGGTTTCGACTAAAGGCCACAAGATACTTGCCATCATCGGTGAACTTGCGAAACGAATAGTCTGGGCAATCTATGCCGTATAGTGTAACTTGGAACCAAATTCTCATAGAATTGTCTGACAGTATTAACCTGTCAACAATGAAAAAGGGAAGGAGAAGAAACACCAGTTAGATCTTCTTAAGTTGCAAAATAAAAAGGTTGCAGAAATTTGCTCCCATCACAAGTTCACAACCAAGACTCAATATGAAGAGCATGCTAGAACACCAAAGCATGTGAGTTCCAATAATTACAGGAAGACAACACACATTGGTCATCAACAATATACAGCAACAAGTGTGAATTATGTCTACCTAATAGAAAGATATGAGCCTACATTCTTGAACTTTAACTTTTGACAGTTACACTCCCCATCTTGGGTAACGAATATCTTTATCTAAAAGTAAGTATTGCCACAACATCAAGTGTGTAGATTTTGTGCATGTTTGATCTATCCTAGATTATGGACACATGCAATAACAAATTCATCCATATTACATGTATTTTTATTCTCAGTTCACACATTAGGCAATTGCTCACTTATCTGTTCATGCTTGATAGGTGTTCTGCACTACATAACAACTCTCCCAAAAAAATACTCTCAATTCAGCAGTCCAAGGATTTTGTTGCATTATTCCTCACACCCAGTTTCAAGCTTGACATTCTACACCATTGTTTTGTTTTCCGAACCATAAACTAGTTAACTAAATTACTTGACATAGATAATTGTCTAAGACTCTAAGTCATAGGGATAAGATAATCATGCATCGCCTCTGTTGTACAAATTATCCTAAACTTGTTAAGGTGATAGGTGGAAAGTTGTCAGTTCACTCGGAGCATTGCCTACTTCATTTGACCTCTTATTTTTTCGTGACATTTCACTACTTATGAGCTAATACTTATTCACAAAGCATGACATTGTCGCATTAATATTTTTCTATGTATCCCACTGTGTGGCATCAAAATGGCTTAATACCAGGGGTGTCATTAGCTCTAGACTCTAGATATCTCTGGCAAATATCTTAGCCACAGTTTCCATACTACAACACAGACAGGAGTACCATAGTCAATAGTAGAACCCCAAAAATGGGGCCTCACCCCACCCACAAACCCTCCAGAGGCCAAAGGCTAAGCACGTGTAGCAACGGCAACCACAGCGGCTTTGGCTAGGGTTTCTCGTGCCTCCCGCCGATGCCGCCGTCGGTCTACCTCGTCTCTTGTGGTCTTAGGGCAATGGAGGTGCGGTGGATCCCGGCCCTTGCTGGCGGGCGAGGGGGAGGGGTCCGTTTTCATGTTTTTTTCTGAGTTTTGTTTGGGTTTGTGTCCTGCTCAGAGAGGCGAGGCGGCGGCGGCTCTTTGAAGATGGAATAAGGTTCTCCCCACCTAGTCTCCGTCCCTGTGGTGTTTCTAGCATCGTTGGAGGTCGTGTGAAGGTTTGTCTCGAGCGGATCTCGCGGGATTCGGTCGGCGTTTGTCTTTGGTGGATTCAGGTGGATCATGTCTTCGTGTGTCTATAGGTTATCTTTCCGATCTACGTTTCTCTTCATCGGTGGTGGTTGTTGTTCTGGTGCGGTGGTCTTATGGGAACTTAGCACGACGACTTCCTGACTGTCTACTACAACAAGGTTTGCCCTGCTCCGATGAGGGAGGGGCGATGACGGCGGTGCCTCTTCGTCTCGCTCCAGTGCTTGTAGTCATCGCTAGATGGTCTACAGACCTGGATATACTTTTTACTTCTAGTGTTCTTTGTACTACCTTGACAGTTGATGAATAGATCAAAAGTTTTTCTCGTAAAAGAAGAAATCGGCAACCACAGCGACACCACCCTCTGCCCGCCCTAACGAAAGGAAAGCAGCCGCATTCGGCCGCCCTCCGCGTGCCCACAGTCGCAAGGGCACTACCCCTATCACCAATTCTGAGGGTTAGCGGGGCGGGAGGAAGGAGGAAGAAGCGTACGGTTGCGCCGGGGCGCGGAGAGAGAAACTGCCGGTCGAACACCCTTGAGGCAAGGTTGCCGCTGCGGAAGAAGCCCACCATCACTGCACCACCCGTGGCCGACGCCGGCGCGGAAGCATCGGAAGCGCACGCGCCGGAGAGAGTGGGGGTTAGGCGGCGGGGATTACTACTATTTGCCGCTGGTGTGGATGTGAGAGGGTGGGAACTGGGAAAGGGGATTTTTGCTTGTGGTGTGGGCATTTCCCTATGCTTGTGGTGTGGATGTGAGGTTGAGAGCTCTTATTTTAAGCGAGACTCCCCCCTCCCGCGAGCGGGGGGGGGGAACCCTAGCCGCCGGCCCAGGGCCCTCCTTCCCCTTCTTCTCTCCTTGCCGCTGCCACAGCAAGCTGATGGCCAAAGCCCGGCCAGCATCGGCGGCGGCCGGACGTTTTCCTTCCCTTGCTCGGTTCTTGGTGGCGCGGGCCGTCGGAAGCGGCCGGCGGCGCGGCGTGGGCACGGGGCGTGGCGGCGTGGTGGCAGCAGCTGGCGGCAGAGGCGTGGGCTGCCGGCGGCCCTACGAAGGGGTTGTGGACGTTGGGGGCGGCGTGCGGGTCCTCCTCATGGTTGGGGTGGTTCGTATCTGACGCGAGGGCTCGCGGCTCTGCTTCCGGCGGTGGCTGGGCTTGGTCCCGGCGCCCGTGGAGGCGGGGTCTGGGCCTTCTCTGCCCGGCTCCCCTGGTGGTGGCGCCCTTGCGGTCCTCCGGTCAGGTCTGGCCAGACCTGGTCTGGACTTGACGCCAGCAGGGGGCGCGGGCTGTGTTCAGCAAGGGCGGGCTGCGGCAGCAAGAGCCTGCCGGCGGCGCGCGGGGACTGATGCGCTCGTTGTCGTCGGCATGGTGGCGGTGGTGGTGATGCGTGTCGGACGGATTTCGCCTTTTTCCGGCTGGCGGCGCGGGTTTGGGGCCCGGCCCGGCGTGGCTGCGGTCCCGACTGTAGGCGGCGGCGGCGAGGTGGCTTCGCCGTGCCGGCTCCACGGCAGCTCGGCGGGTTAACTGGGGCGGCGGCTGGCTTTCCGGCGTCAGCTTGTTTGTAGGCGGCCTGTTTCGACCTTCGGCCCTCTCCTCGTCGTCTGGTTGCTACCTTCGTCGAAGGTTCGGCCCTCCCCCGACTACGGTCCATCGCTTGTATCGCGCCCAGCAGTAGGACCGACCTTGTCTCGCGCCCGACAGCAGGACCGACCTCGGCTCACGCCCAGCGGCAGGATCATGCTCGTCTCACGCCCGACAGCAGGACCGTGCTCATCTCGCGCCCAGCAGCAGGTCGGGTCGATGGAGGCCAATTTTGGACGACCTTTGGTTTTCGGTGTTGGGGGCATCCCAGGGGTGCGAAAGGCGGTTCCTTTCCGCTCGTATCTTTGATTGGGGTAGCGATGGGTCTCGGGTGAGGTGGTGTCCAAGTCTTGGATGCAGGGCGGCGGCCCTGGTGGTGGCTCCGCGGTGCTCTTGGGCAGAGCCCGTGGTTAGGTGCTGCCCGGTGGCCATGGCCGTGTGGGCGGCGTGGTCAATGAGATGTGGCATCCGGTGGTGGTGGGTGTTGGCCTGTAGCGACCCGACCTGAATGGGTCAAGTCTCTATGCTTAAGTGTCATCCCTCGATCGGTATGCTGACACACACAGTACTCGAGAATTTATAACAGAGGTAAATCACATGTAAAAGTAACGTAAATACTATTACCTCAAATCCAAAATAGCGGAAGTAACAAGGTTGTGGATTCCCATCAACACCAACGGCAAAGTTGAGTGTAGAAATCGTAACCCTAACGTATCACTTACTCGTCGTAAGATAATCCTGCAACATGAGACATTGCAGCCACAAAGGGTTAGTACATTGAATGTACTGGCAAATTCACATCAGAGGATAATGATGAATAATGGCTATCACTACATGCATATTTGGCTGGTAGAAAAGCTATATGGTTTAGTTTTTGCGAAAAGCCAATTTTTCCCTACTGCAAAGGAATACATTTAATTACTATCATGGTGGTTGTTAAACATTGAGAATGGTTGACAGCATTCTCAATCCCAATTAAGTAACATCATTAAACCCAACAATATTCATTTAAATTAACGTGATGAGAACAACAGGATAATCCAAGAACTAGATACTCAAGATGTCCATAACCGGGGACACGGCTAATCATGATTAGTTTATACACTCTACAGAGGTTTGCGCACTTTTCCCCACAAGACTCGATCGCCTCCGTTGGATTTCTCGCACTACATGGTGTTTGAGAAACGGATGACCGAGACACAGTCTTTCAGAAGCGCTAGCGCCTTACGATGGATAGACCGGTACACCTACTTTCCCCTACATCTGCTAGTCTACCCTGTAAGAGTTCGCACGACTTAATCAACTATGCCAGAGCCCATAATGGCTTGTGGCTGCACACGGAAGTTTCTAGTATGAATAATCTCATGATCCCTTTGAGTCTGGGTGGCGGTCCAAAAGAAAACAGACAAGTCCTGGATTACCCAGGTGCCTAGACAGGCAATCCTAGAATAACCAGGTGCCTCAATCCACCCAGATGTGTGTTTAAGTTGCCACCTTAAGTAAATCATTAATTAACAATCTCACATCTATCATGGATACTCTCAAAACCCAATCCACGTCTACGAGCATAGCATGGCCATGTAAGCATAACGTAAAAGTAACTCCCAAGGTTTGAATGCATGGCAATAGGTTCCTACCTCATCAACTACTTCCCAATACCCACATGTTATCAATCCTACTCATGTAATGTTTGAGGGTGAAGCTAATGCATAAAAACTGGGTATGGAAGGGGATATGATCAAAGTGTGAACTTGCCTGCAATGTTGATGAAGATGATTCGCACTCAAAACTCTTGATAGCTCTACTCGTCACACTCCGGTCAATCTATCGTAAGCAAGCAATAGTAACCACACATAAGCAATCACTCAAAAGATCAGAAAGAACAAAGAAGACGATTCGGAAAACATCAAAACCAAGCAAATAACTCTTGCAACGTAAAACAATTTCTAACAGTACCAAAATTATGTGAATTTGGCCTTATCAGAAAGTTTAGGTCAAGAGCTTCGATAAGCAAAAAGAATTCAACT